GGGAGGGAGGCTGTGCTGGTCCCCAGCGTGTGCTCCTCCTAATGGCTATTTCAGCCTTTAGCCGGCAGACGAAGGCCAGAACCTGGTTAATGAGCCTCCCAGCTAAATTATTCAAGCAGACCCTGCGAAGCAAAACAGAGCAGCTAATCGCAAGGCCAGAGGCAAAGGCCTGATCCCTGCTACAGCTCCATCCTTATCCTCCCCCTCCCCGGCTCCTTATTAACCCCTTCCCTGCCCCGCGGCGGCTCCGGGAGCGAACGCAGGGCAGCATCGTCCTTCGGATGGGGGGAAAAGAAGGGGTAAGGGGGGCACGGGGCTGTTGGGGGCTCCCGGGAGGTGCTGGGGAGGGGTGAAGGGGGTGCAGGGTGTTTAGAGACAGCCTTTAGGGTCCGAGCCGCCGCGCGGTGGCAGTGTGGGCTAACAACACGCGCGGGCCGGGCTGGGAACGCTGCGTGGAAGTGGGAGGATAATGGGAAAGGCTGCCGAGGGTCCCTCACCCGCTAACTTGGGCTCAGCTGCACTACCCCAGGAGCCACCCGGGGCTTCCGCGGGCCCTGCCGGACAGTTCTGCTCCATCACTGGGGACTCAACAGTAACAGCCCACAGCACCCTCCACTTTGCATCTTCTGGTGCCTTTTAGCAAGCCGGGGGTGTAAGGAGAGCCTGTGGAAAGGGGGACAAAATGACCCTCATACCTCTGCCACCTTGGTGCCCGTGCAGCATCCTCAGTTCGCTGCAGCTGAAGGGAAACTGCTGCACGAAGCCTGTCCTGCCCCAGCGAGGGAAAAGCTGTTTCATGGGGTCACTTCTGCCACCTCCATCTCTTTCAGTTTCAGAGCCACAGGGAAGGGATGCTACACAAGTGCTCCAGTTTCCACCGTGGTGGGCAGAAAATCCACCCCGCAGGAGAGCACGGTGCCACTGGTGATGTGCCACTCAGGGCTGTGACCATGACACCCGTGAGGGTGACTGTGACCACGACCACCAGACACCACAGAGGAGAGGGCTGCAAGCCCCTTCTCAGCTGCCGGGGTGTCTGGGGAGGGCTGTCTTTGCCCATCCTGCCATACCGTCCACGCCAGCACAGCTCATCCTGCCCATCAAAGGCTCTTAAAAGAGAGCAAATAAAATTGCAGGCTCCAATCGATCCGGCGCTCCGTAATGCTGTCTTTGGAGACGGGCCAGCCCGTCAGGCCGGTGGAGAGAGCAAGAGAGGCAGCAGAGGAAAACAAAGCCATCAAGGGAGCATTAAAGGCTTTTTCTGCCCTGAGGCTTCGAGCAGTGCCTCCGGGTGCGGGGTGTCCCGCCCACCCTCCCCCATCTTCCTCAGCCAATGACCAGCTCTGAGCCCCTACCCAGTCCCGAAAACAGCCCGAGCAACACGTTGCCCCTGTACAGGCGCTTCTCCTCACGATCCTGCAGGCAGCCTCCCTAATCCTGGCAAATATTTGCTTCCCCATCGCCCTCATGCAGCTGCTGAACTGCGTAAAAGCAGAGCTCCTCTCCTTTCTCTGCAAACAGCGCCTGCCCTCTCTAATCTGTCTATTAACCTCTCGCATGGAAGGAAGCCACTTCCCCCACGCGCTCTGCTGACGGCCTCTCTTCAAACCCAGTGTGCTTAATGCCCAGCTGTGGTGACTCCCTGATGGTTTGGGCTGCCACCAGCCCTGCTGCAAGAGCCTGGGGCAAAGGGGTGAAAGGATGAGCCAGGGCCTTGCTGCTTGCAAGGTGTGTGATGCTTCAGCAAAATTCAGAGCTGTGGCAGCTGGTGTCAGGCTTATCTTCTCTGCAGACTCCACAGGTGACAGGGACCGGGTGGGCCTTCCCATCACACGGTTCCCCAAGCTTTGCATCCACTGGACCTCTGTATCTCTAGCTTGTTGGAAATAGCTGCTGCTTGACCAGCTCCAGCATCTCTGCTCAGCTGAGGAGGGCACAACAAGTGGTCCTCAAGGATGAAACAGCTCTGGATGCATCAGCACAGACAGATTTTTGAGTCTTTCCCCATCTCAAAGCCTAGTTGTCCTTGTACCATGAGTCCCACTGTGCAGGGGCAAAGTGTGACCCATCTGTTTTAGAAACCACTAAAAATGATCTACACTAGCTTTTTCTAGCCCTGCTAGGTCATGAGATAATGGATATTAAAATTGTGGCATTTTTATATATAGAAAAGTTATTTTAGGTCATTTTTAGAGGTTTCTGAAATGGACCAGTTATAATTTTCCTCTCCTATTGAGGGCTGAATGTACTAAAGATGTCTTGCTCCGCAGGTGGAGGGATACAAAAAATAGTACCAATTAAAGTTCTAGGAAGCCTCTCAAAACACTTCTGCAGGAGGTATTTCTTCTGGTGCACTCAGGACACATCCTGGTGCCAGACTGCTGGGGGTTACCAGCACTAGAGCGTGCTTGTGGGGTCACCAACCCTACAGTGTGCCTCTGGGGTCACTTTATTACTCATCTTCCTGGTCTCTGGCCAGCAAAGCCTGTAGGGTCCATGACAGGAGTGTGTGCTTGTGCCAGAGTTACAGCCATGGTGTAGAACCCCCATGCTGCTCCCATGCTGGACAACCACCCCAACACTGATGCTGTTTGGCCACCTGACGGTCACTGTTAGTGTCCCTGCCTCTCCCCAGTGCCCATGGCAGGACTGCTGCCCCATCTCTTGCCTATGCCTGACATGCCCTCCACATCCTTACCCACTGACTTTTTTTTTGCACCATAGCCATGACCTTGCTGGTGATGGGTATGTGTCAGTAAGTAAAAAGGTACTGTAACTGAGAAGTGATTGAAAGCAAAGCTGCAGAGGTTGGAGGGCACAAGAGGGATCCACCCAGGCATAAGATGCCAGTCCCAAGCATGTGGGCTCATGTGCACTAGAGCAGCACACCCCACATGTCTGTGCACACACCTAACTAGGTAATCTTGTGAAGCACACACTGGCTGCAAGCACAATGTATTATTTATCTAACACTGTTTTTCTAAAATTGTCTGTTTACAGCAGGCTGGTAAGACACAACAAAGAGCATAATTGATGAATAAGTCATATTTATACTGCCCAGAAGACCAGGGGAGCATCCACCTGCTGTGCTGCAGTGCAACCTGGCTGTGGCTGGAGATGGTCCCTTCCACTGCCCCAGATATTTGGATGCAGCTGTGTTTTGTTGACAGATAAAGGGATGGAGGTGAAGCTTCAATTTTGCTCTGTTATCTCTTGTCCAGGCTGCTCTTGGCTAAGGTGAGGAGGAGAAGGAATGCAGAGGATAGCAGAGGGTCAGTATGGGGGCAGGTGGTGCTCTCCTCTGTTGTGCTGCTGCACTCTGAGAAGATCATGTTTATATACTGCCACTTCTTCAAAACGGATTAAGTGAGATTGTTTTTTTTAAAAAAGAAAAGAGAAAAATTTATGGGAGAGAGAATTAGAAAGCCCAGTGATGCAGAATCTCAAGGAAATATCATCTCGTTCTTCACTAAACTACTGGCCAACCTGAGACAAAGTGATGGCAGACAGAGTTCAGGTCTCTTCCAGTCACCTAAGCCACACCAACCTTAGCAACAGACATTTTCAGGGGGACATTCCCCCCCCTTGATATTAGACACTGAAGATGTACCCCTCTAGAGTGTGAGCCATCGCAGCTAAACACAGAGATGCCCACATTCAAGCCAGAGTCTAGCCCAGCTCCAACACCCTCCTCTCCAGCATCTCACCAGGAACTTTTTGAAAAGGGCCAGGGACACCTGCAGCTATAACCAAAGTTGCCTGGTCTCCAAGAGCAAGCATTTAAATCCCAGAAGGTGCCAGAGAAAAAGGTGAACTCAGCAAAAGATAAATTTCTGAAAGGCCCTGTTTTACACTGATTAGGGCTCATAAACCAAGCTATGGATTTTCTCATTTCCCTTGCAGAAAATTCAGTGCGTGTGTGGAGAGGCAGGGCTGTAAATTTTTGGGTGAGGCATTACTCAAAGAGCAGAGAGAGCTCAGAGCCCCATGGTGGGGGCTCAAGCCCCCAGCCCTAAAAGCTGGCCCACAGCAGGGCAGCGTGATAA